AAAGAAGAACAAGAGAGAGAAATTTCCCTATTAACAACATATTTGTAATAAAAAGAATCGATAAAACTACAGTAAAAACTTAACTCAAATTCACATGGATATAAGTTTCGAAAACTTAAAGTATTTTAAATATTTTTTTATGGCAAAGTATTTTTAATATAGAGTTAAAAGCAAAGATTTCTTGTTTTATCATTCAATCACAAATACTAATATATACCATCAAAGAATACACTTATTTTATAATTATTTCTCTGTAATAGATCGTTTTACTTTTGCTAAATAAAAAAATATCGTTTAATAATATATATAAATTAATAAGAACAAACATTTAATGATTTCGAATTCAATATGTATCTTTATCAAATCTTTTACTTTCCTCCAATGGTTCTCTTGAAAAACTACTAAAGATTATCAAATTTGTACAGTAACTATTTAATAATTTCCATGTACAATAATTTTTAACTAAATTACAATACAAAACATAAAGTTTAAATTCTTATTACCATTATACACAGGACTTTTCTCATGAGAGAAACCATAAGTAATCTAAAGCCAAAATGATAAAAGGTTTTATGGATGGATATAGATTTGATGTTATGTTTTATTCATTTTTTCTTAAAATAATAGGACAGTGATACATGTTATATTACTATTTATCGATAGACACCATGAATGTTAAAGAAAGTGTGAGAAGAAAATCAAACATATAAACCCTAATTCTGAGCCACATCCACATGTATTAATGTGTTGCTTGCTTTATACATTTTGAAAGTCTCCACAGTATAACCCACTCCCCCCACAATGGCAAACACAAAATCTTGTCTTTCAATTATTTTGTTCTCTATTTTCCTTCTCTTTCTTGCCCACCACTCTCCATTTTTCCAAGGGACAACTCACATAATACACTCACTTTTTTAAAGAATGATTTATTATTATTATTATTATTATTATTTAATAAGAATAATAATTACTATTATTTTATTGTGGTGTTCCTAAGGAGGAGGTATGTTCATCATCCTTAATCAAATTCTCCTAGCACCCAACTAGGTTTAGGACCTTGGATTATGCATACATAATCTTTTTGGTTACTATAAAAATAGAGACAAACAACCTTTTTCCTCAAATCTTCATGTACAAGGCCCCAAATAAAGACAAAAAAAAAAATAGCTAGCTACTATATATTTTATCTTATCGTATATAGATTATTATTTAGTTTAAGAAATAATATCTTATAGTTAATGAGGTGTGTGTATGAAAGTACAATTAGAGGAAGCAAAGTTAACATTGGATGTGTGCCATTTCCACGTCTTCCGTGATGGGCTCATTTTACACGACTTTTCTATTTTAGAGGACACGTGTCAACACGTTATTGGCATATGGCACGTGGGTCAAACACATAAAAATTTTACTTTATCTTTTTTGTATTTTCGGTGTGTTTGTGATTTTTAATTAATGCTAAGGATAATGCAAATTAATTAGGGTAGATGATTGATCATAATAAATAAATTAGGGATTGTGTATTTTAGACCCATTGAATGCATAATCAATTCAGCTACAAAGATATGAGTGCTACGTAAGGGACATTGTTATGACACTAGGGCCCAAAGGTCTCTTTGAGGGTCATTTTTATTGTTCTTCACCTCGCTAAATTGCACATTATTAGGAAACTTTATCATTCTTTAGAGAGAAAAAAATCAGTTATATTGGAGATGTATTATCATATCTTACTTACCATTGCAACAATTCATGTTAAGATAGATGTGTTTGTTGATATATGTAAATGGAACCAAACAAACTCAAATACATTTGATTTAATTTTATAATTTTTTTATATGATTCAATTCATCTTGTACCAATTTAGGCAATGATTTTTTATCCATATAAAAAATTCGAGAGATCCAACTCATTAATGTAAGATTTTATTTTAATTAGTTATTTGTTTCGGATATTGGGTTGAGGTCAATCTTTTTTGTTCTATTGTGAAGTCCTGAATCTTGAATGTCCGTCTAATAGTTACTGTTCTGGTACCAATCGGTCTATTTAAGGTTGATCTGCAAAAAATATTTTGACACCACTAGTGCAGTCAGGGGAAACGATAGCAGTTATTTCTGCTCATAGGCAGCAGTTCTTGAACCGAGGCATATATAGGCGAGACAAAAAGTCCACAACTTTATGTCTCGGTTGTGAACTGAGGCATAAAGGTGGAAGATTTCGCCTAGATTCAAAGACAACCGATGTAGTAGATTTTTTGTTTTTTTATTTTTTTTTTTAGGACTTTATGCCTCGGTTACCTATGAACCGAGGCAATATGTCTTTTTTTTTTAGTTTCATTCAAGTTCACTGCAGATGAATAAAGCCAAAACAATAGGTTTTAGAAATGGAGAAAGGAGCATACAAATGACACAATAGTTGGGAAAACAATCACATACATTTTTCATGCGGAAGTACAGGTAATGAGCTAGAAAAAAAGGCTAGCATCAGATGAAGCATGGTAGGAATCAGATCTAGACAAAGCCTCCCACGTACCATTCCCCAATTTTCCAGGTATTTTTATAGATGGAATCTTGGAAGGACCTATTGGTGATAAAAGGATTATAGTTAATTCAAATTTCAATATACTAACAACCCAATGAAAAAAAAAGTATTTTCTATTCTTAACATATAAAAAATCACAAATAAAGTATTTTCTTTCTATAGATTATATTTTAAAGCTAGCAAATAATACGACAAAATCCATTTAAAAACAATAATAATTTATTTGACCACATTAAGATCTTTAACAGATATTATAGCATGTGTTTGTATGTGATCCAACGAGTTTGAAACTAAATTGGTAAGATATCAATCAAATTAATATATTAATCAAGCTAGATATTTAGTACTTTTCAACGTCTACATAGTATAAAGTAATTTTATTTTACTTTAAATAACCATTAGAAAAAACAACATAAAGTTTTTTGTCCATTTTTTTGCAACTATAAAATTAACTCTATAATAAGGTAAAAATGTCAAACTCATTAACTTATAAAAAATGAACTGCAAAAACATTATTCTTGCTTCATTCAATTTATTTTCACTAGGATTTTAATATTAATAGGGAACTTAACCCCATCACATAAAACTAATAAAACTAATTAATAGGGAACTTACTAGATGAAGCATGGTAGGAATCAGATCCAAACAAAGCCTCCCACGTACCAATATTAGACGCAATCAATAAAAACTGACAATATACATGTTCAACATTATCAATAAAAACTGACAATTGAGTTTTTATGATGAAATATTAGACGCACTTACCCAGCTTCCAATATACAGGTTCAACACTATCACTTTTTGCACAATCAAGGGGCCGGAAACAGTCTAACCATAAAGGAAGAAGAGATATACAAATACATTGTTATTAATCTTCTCAAGAACGTGAGAGGATCCTTGTTATTAGCCACACTATTTTTCTTTCACTTCTTCACAGTTCAGGAATGTTCCAATTCCACAGATTTGGATGTCCTATATAACTAAATTTCGAAGCAACAAAAGGAAAGGTTTTGGTTAAACTTGAAGCCTCAGATACACAACTACTTTAATTTGTGTCAAGTATTCATGTCTGATTCGTATGCATATCAAATACCACAAATTTAAAAGAGATGAGTAATGAACCTAGGCGCGACCTTGACGAACCTACGACGAAGACCAAAATGCGTCATTATGTGTCCCCTCAATGCCAACAAATGTGAGAAAGAGAAAAACAAACCTACAAGTAACAAGAGATGGTTCATGACAACTAAGAATGAAAATGAAGAGGAAAAGAGAACAATATGCTTCCCAAGGAGAGGATACGAGAACAAGATGTTTTGCAATGGAGAAGAGCTTCGTATGGAAAAGAGACCAACAATGAAAAAAGAGAGTGAGTTTTCGCATTAGTAATGAAGACTAAAACATGGCAATGTTATGACAAGAAGGTAACTTTTGTAAAAATTTAACCCTAAGGAAAATAATAGACTTTGGTTATTTAAAGAACCAAATCTTATCATTTCAAAAATTTTACCCATAGCATTTATATAAATATTTGACAACAATAAACTTCAGTTTTTTAAAGCCTATATTAGAATAGGTTTCAATTATTTTATAACTAAAAGTTTATAATTGTGTAAATGGTACAAACACAAATAGCATCAAGTCTAAAGTTATCAAATTCATCCCATATAATTATAAGTTTTGGAAAAAAATTCAATGATAAAAAGATCTATGTTTGAGGGTTGAAGAATTCATCTTTAATTCTAATATAGACTAAATCCTGAGAATACCGGGACTTTAAATCTTTTTTTTTTCACCCACAAGATACTCTATCGAATAAGTGTTGAAACATAGTGAATTATCCAAGACATAATCTATTAAGTGAGGGGCAATAAAGGAAAAACAACATTTAAACGTTGTAAAACGTATGTGCTGGCAAGAGAGAGAAAGACACTTTCCAAGATCTGAGGGTTAGAGAGAAGGCAGAGAGAAATCCCTCCTCTAAGGTTTCACACCACCACCACCACCACTGGCCGGAGATCAACAACACACTGATCAGAGCACTGGAGTTTAACAGAAAAGAAGAACAGAGATACACAAGGTACTGAAAATTTCAATTCTTTTCATTAGCATACTCTGAATGTTTACAGTATTATATACTAATCAATAAAATCGTTTTCTGTTTTGTTTTACTTCCAATACTCCTCCCAAACAAAACATTGAAAGAACAAATTACGAAATGTACGTAAAAAAACCCCTTTTCACCGATTGAAATCGGAGAAAAACTTCATCTCTTTCGATTTTGAGCTATTTTCACCGATTAAAATCAGTAAAAATACTCCCTTTTGAGCACACACCCATTTTTCACCGATTGAAATCGGAGAAAAACTCCTCCTAGGCCGATCTTCCTATCTCCGGTGAAAACCCTAGGTTTTCGTCCTTTCACTGGTGTGATCTTCAATCATCTCAACTCGCACCATCCCGATCTACTTTCTGAGAGTCAGAAAGCGTTCACCTTTAAGAGCTTTGGTGAGTATATCTGCTAGTTGGTCTTCGGATCTGCAGTGTACAACCTTCAGACTTCCATTGCTGACTTGTTCCCTGATGTAATGGAACCTAGTCTCAATGTGCTTGCTCCTACCGTGAGAGGTAGGATGCTTAGTGAGATCTATGGCTGACTTGTTGTCTACCAATAGTCTCATCCTCTCAGACATCTTCACCTTCATCCCTTCTAATAAGAATCCCAGCCAAGTTGCTTGACAAGTAGCTTCACAGGCAGCTATGTATTCTGCCTCACATGATGACAAAGCCACCACTGGTTCTTTTCTAGAACACCAAGAAATAGGAGATCCACCCATGAAGAAAATATACCCTGCAGTGCTTCTTTTGTCTGTCTTATCTCCACACCAATCTGCATCTGAGTAAGAAGTAATTTGTACTTCTTCTCCAGCTTCACCTCTTCTTAGGAGAATTCCATATGAGTATGTACCCTTTAAGTACCTTAGTATCCGTTTGACAGCATTCAAATGTGATACCCTAGGACACTCCATGTACCTACTTATCACTTCAACACTATAGCTCAGATCAGGTCTGGTGTTGCAGAGATATCTAAGACTTCCAACCATTCTTTTGTAAGCTGTTGGATCAACAACTTCTTCTTCTTCTGGCTCTTTTTCTAGCCTTAATCCCACTTCAGCAGGGGTGTTAGCTTTATTACAATCAACCATCTCATACTTCTTCAGTAAATCTNAGAAAAGAAGAACAGAGATACACAAGGTACTGAAAATTTCAATTCTTTTCATTAGCATACTCTGAATGTTTACAGTATTATATACTAATCAATAAAACTGTTTTCTGTTTTGTTTTACTTCCAACATAATCTTGTTATTGCATGACACCAGTACGAGCATTCCATTTTATTTGGTTCATTCATGGTTCCATCAACAATTTCAAGTTTTCTTTTAACACTAAGAGCAATGACCATTGATATGCTCCTAGAATTGTAATTATTACCATAAAAAACAAGAGAAACCTGACAGATAGTTAGATTCTCACTAAAATGTACATATAAACAATCATGTTCAGAATATGTTTCCTGAAATTCTTCTTCCATGTAAACGAAAGAAAATAACAAGAAAGAACAAGTAAAATGAAAGAATAACAAGATAAAAAATGCACAAAAGAGTTCATTTTAAGAAGATTTTTTATACTATATCAAAATAAAAGTGTGATTTTTTGAAGAAAATAGAAATCAGAAAAGAAGAGAGAGAAAAAAGAGAGAAAAGAAGAGCATAAAGATGCAAAAAGAAAAAAATAACTAAAATTATATTATTATGATTGATATACCAGGATAGAGAAGAATATATACAAAACAATTTACTAAAAATTGATACTAATAATTGACTATTCTTCAGAAATATTTTACAAATACCAAATACATAAAATATATTAAAATTTTAAAAAGATATATTAATATATTAATTTACCTATATATAGCAAAAAAAAAATTGTTAGTAAGAGAGGTCCCAAATAGTCTTTTAAGATTCATCACTGATATTGAAAACGCGTAGAAATATTTATATTTAAACATAAAAACTATTTAATTTACTTTAATTAATAATATATTCTTGAAACATAATCGTACAAAAAGTTATGATAAGAGAAAAATTATATTATAGATATAGGTAAATTTTATAGATATAAAACAACTAAACAATTAGAAAAAACAAAAAAAAATGTGTAAAAAAAAATAAAAAATTATAAAATTAAAGACTAAGAATATATATAACAAAATCACAAACAATTATTCAATATATAACAAAATCACAAACAATTATTCAATATATAACAAGCATTTTTTTAAGCAATATATTTTGGAAAGTCATAAATTAAGTGGAAATAATATTAGACAGCGAGACATTAGAAATATTAAAAAGGCATAAAAATATTTATGTTTAAAATAAAAACGATTTAATTTACTTTAATTAATAATACATAATTAAAATATAATCATAAAGGTTATGATAAGAAGAAAATTATATTAAAGACGTGGTTAAATTTTATAGATATAAAACAAACCAAACAATTAGAAGAGATAAAAAAATATATACCAAAACAAATGAAAAATTTTAAAATTTAANAATTAATATATTAATCAAGCTAGATATTTAGTACTTTTCAACGTCTACATAGTATAAAGTAATTTTATTTTACTTTAAATAACCATTAGAAAAAACAACATAAAGTTTTTTGTCCATTTTTTTGCAACTATAAAATTAACTCTATAATAAGGTAAAAATGTCAAACTCATTAACTTATAAAAAATGAACTGCAAAAACATTATTCTTGCTTCATTCAATTTATTTTCACTAGGATTTTAATATTAATAGGGAACTTAACCCCATCACATAAAACTAATAAAACTAATTAATAGGGAACTTACTAGATGAAGCATGGTAGGAATCAGATCCAAACAAAGCCTCCCACGTACCAATATTAGACGCAATCAATAAAAACTGACAATATACATGTTCAACATTATCAATAAAAACTGACAATTGAGTTTTTATGATGAAATATTAGACGCACTTACCCAGCTTCCAATATACAGGTTCAACACTATCACTTTTTGCACAATCAAGGGGCCGGAAACAGTCTAACCATAAAGGAAGAAGAGATATACAAATACATTGTTATTAATCTTCTCAAGAACGTGAGAGGATCCTTGTTATTAGCCACACTATTTTTCTTTCACTTCTTCACAGTTCAGGAATGTTCCAATTCCACAGATTTGGATGTCCTATATAACTAAATTTCGAAGCAACAAAAGGAAAGGTTTTGGTTAAACTTGAAGCCTCAGATACACATCTACTTTAATTTGTGTCAAGTATTCATGTCTGATTCGTATGCATATCAAATACCACAAATTTAAAAGAGATGAGTAATGAACCTAGGCGCGACCTTGACGAACCTACGACGAAGACCAAAATGCGTCATTATGTGTCCCCTCAATGCCAACAAATGTGAGAAAGAGAAAAACAAACCTACAAGTAACAAGAGATGGTTCATGACAACTAAGAATGAAAATGAAGAGGAAAAGAGAACAATATGCTTCCCAAGGAGAGGATACGAGAACAAGATGTTTTGCAATGGAGAAGAGCTTCGTATGGAAAAGAGACCAACAATGAAAAAAGAGAGTGAGTTTTCGCATTAGTAATGAAGACTAAAACATGGCAATGTTATGACAAGAAGGTAACTTTTGTAAAAATTTAACCCTAAGGAAAATAATAGACTTTGGTTATTTAAAGAACCAAATCTTATCATTTCAAAAATTTTACCCATAGCATTTATATAAATATTTGACAACAATAAACTTCAGTTTTTTAAAGCCTATATTAGAATAGGTTTCAATTATTTTATAACTAAAAGTTTATAATTGTGTAAATGGTACAAACACAAATAGCATCAAGTCTAAAGTTATCAAATTCATCCCATATAATTATAAGTTTTGGAAAAAAATTCAATGATAAAAAGATCTATGTTTGAGGGTTGAAGAATTCATCTTTAATTCTAATATAGACTAAATCCTGAGAATACCGGGACTTTAAATCTTTTTTTTTTCACCCACAAGATACTCTATCGAATAAGTGTTGAAACATAGTGAATTATCCAAGACATAATCTATTAAGTGAGGGGCAATAAAGGAAAAACAACATTTAAACGTTGTAAAACGTATGTGCTGGCAAGAGAGAGAAAGACACTTTCCAAGATCTGAGGGTTAGAGAGAAGGCAGAGAGAAATCCCTCCTCTAAGGTTTCACACCACCACCACCACCACTGGCCGGAGATCAACAACACACTGATCAGAGCACTGGAGTTTAACAGAAAAGAAGAACAGAGATACACAAGGTACTGAAAATTTCAATTCTTTTCATTAGCATACTCTGAATGTTTACAGTATTATATACTAATCAATAAAATCGTTTTCTGTTTTGTTTTACTTCCAATACTCCTCCCAAACAAAACATTGAAAGAACAAATTACGAAATGTACGTAAAAAAACCCCTTTTCACCGATTGAAATCGGAGAAAAACTTCATCTCTTTCGATTTTGAGCTATTTTCACCGATTAAAATCAGTAAAAATACTCCCTTTTGAGCACACACCCATTTTTCACCGATTGAAATCGGAGAAAAACTCCTCCTAGGCCGATCTTCCTATCTCCGGTGAAAACCCTAGGTTTTCGTCCTTTCACTGGTGTGATCTTCAATCATCTCAACTCGCACCATCCCGATCTACTTTCTGAGAGTCAGAAAGCGTTCACCTTTAAGAGCTTTGGTGAGTATATCTGCTAGTTGGTCTTCGGATCTGCAGTGTACAACCTTCAGACTTCCATTGCTGACTTGTTCCCTGATGTAATGGAACCTAGTCTCAATGTGCTTGCTCCTATCGTGAGATGTAGGATGCTTAGTGAGATCTATGGCTGACTTGTTGTCTACCAATAGTCTCATCCTCTCAGACAACTTCACCTTCATCCCTTCTAATAAGAATCCCAGCCAAGTTGCTTGACAAGTAGCTTCACAGGCAGCTATGTATTCTGCCTCACATGATGACAAAGCCACCACTGGTTCTTTTCTAGAACACCAAGAAATAGGAGATCCACCCATGAAGAAAATATACCCTGCAGTGCTTCTTTTGTCTGTCTTATCTCCACACCAATCTGCATCTGAGTAAGAAGTAATTTGTACTTCTTCTCCAGCTTCACCTCTTCTTAGGAGAATTCCATATGAGTATGTACCCTTTAAGTACCTTAGTATCCGTTTGACAGCATTCAAATGTGATACCCTAGGACACTCCATGTACCTACTTATCACTTCAACACTATAGCTCAGATCAGGTCTGGTGTTGCAGAGATATCTAAGACTTCCAACCATTCTTTTGTAAGCTGTTGGATCAACAACTTCTTCTTCTTCTGGCTCTTTTTCTAGCCTTAATCCCACTTCAGCAGGGGTGTTAGCTTTATTACAATCAACCATCTCATACTTCTTCAGTAAATCTTGGACATACCTGGACTGATGCATTACAACTCCACTCTCAGTCTTAGTAAACTCAATTCCAAGAAAATAACTGAGTTCTCCAAGGTCAATCATTTCAAACTCCCTCTGCATTTCAGCTTTAAAGACTGAAATCAACTCTTCACAACTCCTTGTGACTAACAAGTCATCAACATATAAGCACTCAATCAACTTTTCTGTTCTGCCTTTGTGTTGACAGCACTGTACATATACTCCGTGTTCTGAAACACATTTTTCAAAACCAATACTATTCATAAACCCATCAATCCTCTGGTTCCAGGCTCTTGGGGCCTGTTTAAGTCCATATAGAGCTTTTCTCAGTCTATATACTTTGTCCAGTTTCCCTTCAACTTCAAAGCCCAGTGGCTGTGTAACATAGACTTCTTCCTCAAGCTTTCCATTTAGGAAGGCAGATTTCACATCCAATTGATGTAGGGTCCAGTGAGACTTAGTGGCTAAAGACACCACTAATCTGATGGTCTCAATTCTGGCTACAGGAGCAAATACCTCTCCATAATCTACTCCAAACTTCTGTAGAAACCCTTTAGCAACCAACCGTGCCTTATATCTCACAACAACACCTTGTGGATTTATCTTTGACTTGTA